AATCAGGAGAACATTGTACACAGTAACAACAACATTGTGGGATGACCAACTTTGATAGACTTAGGTTTTCTCAGCAAGGAGCTAAGACAATTTCAAAAGACTCATGATAGAAAATGCTATCCAAAGAAAGAAATATGGAGTCTAATGTAGATTGAAGCATACTATTTTCTCTTTTTCTTTCTCATGATTTTTCCCTTCTGTTCTGATTCTTCTTTCACAAGACTAATGTGGAAATGTTTAATATGTTAATGTGATTGTACATGTATAGACTGTATCAGATTGAATGCCATCTTGGGAAGTGGAAGGTGGGGGAAAAATTCATAACTCAAAGTCTTATAAGAGTGAATGTTGAAAACTAAAAATAAATAAAGAAAACTTGAATTTGGAGTCAGAGGAGTTGGGTCCTCCTCATTTTCAGATGAACTGAGGCTCAGAAAGGGGAAGTAACATCTCCACGGTTGCAAGCTAGTAAGTAGCAGAGCTCGGATTCAACCCAAATCCTCTGACTCCAGATATTCTCTTGCTGTTTTTTCTTGGTAATATCTGGAAACACCTATTACTGCTACTATTACTGCTGCTGCTACTGCTACTACTACCACTACTACCACCACCACCACCACCATCACCATCACCACCACCACCACCAAAATTAAGACTTTTTTGTACATAGCCTTTTACCTAAAATCTTAGTCATACTGGAGTTAAGCCAACCAATCTAAATTAGAAACTTCAACTTGGTCTCCTAAATCCTGTGCACTTTATAATATTACCTTGATTGTTGGGGTGGATGGTCCCCATTCTGTGAAAAGAAAATATTGGGCCTAATCTTACTTTAAAGTTATATTAATGTGCAGTAAAATAAGCTATAATTGGTGGATTCTACATAACCCTATGTCTAGGAAGAGAGTTTTTAAAGCAGCAGTTACTACACATACATATTTAGGAAGGTTAGGTGGAATATAATTTAATTGCTCATAGTGTTAAAGTACTAACTGAAAATGTGTTGTTGTAAGCATGCTATATTATAGCTTTTTAAAACAGTGTAGAGAGGAGGGGAAAATTCATAGTTTAGAAGGCCAGATTGAGGAAGTTGGACACCTTACGTCTTTTCTAGAGTTAGTCCTTCACGGGCTCAGTGAATTACCTTCTTTATTTTGTTTGTTTACAGTTTGTAGAGATACAGATTTGATAACATTGCTACAAAAATATATGCCAATATTCAGCATCAAAGACCGAAGAAAGCTAGAGATTTATTTAAAAACAATTCAAGACTCATTTGACATCACCTTCTAAATGAAGTTTAAATCTGAACTGTGAAATGTTTTATTGAGAAATGCTGTTTCAACAAAATTGGTACCAAATGTGCAGCACTAATTACATAGCCTCAAGACTTCCAGTAAAATATGAAAAAAACAGATTCTTTATCAAAAGAAAGTAAACATGTTGAAAAATACTTGGTTAGAGAATGGATAAAAGTGAAAAATTGGTACCTAAGAGTTCATACACAGAAAAGCTGAGCTTATGTTATCTACTTGAAACTAATTTTAATCAGAGGGTATGTCCAAAGAACTTGTTAACTTTACCAGAAGCATTAACTATAATTTTGTGAAAAATATACCACATGAAACATGCAGAATTATCAACTTGTTTATCAGTGAAAAATTGACATAATTCTGAACTAACAAACTTAAATAACTTGTTTCCCAATCTCGTTTCAAATAATTTAACATGGTTCACCTCTTCTCATTCTCAATGATTATGATAAAGTAGGTTTTAGCTAATATAAGATTGACTGAAGTATAGTTGGTAACTTTTCTACACATGTTCATTCTTGAGTTATATCTATGTTTACATGTCCAATGGAACATTAGCCCCTTGATGGCAGGGATTTTATTCAAAGGAAACAGGACAGGAAAAATGGGCCAGGGAAGGTAAGTAGTAGAGTATATTAGGAAGGTATACTCATATAATGAAATTGGGAATCAGAGTAGGAAGCATGCTGGGAAACAGTTAAGTAAAGATCAGTGCAGAGATTTTTTTATTATTAGAATATACTATAGAATACCTGGGCAGAAACAGGAAATAGATCACAAGCCTGACAGATTGGCAAGATATAGGAGTGATAGAAGCCTTCCATCTTCTAGACATGTATTAGAGCTCTCGGTCTCTCCCTAAGTAGAGTGACTAGCAATTTTTTTTTACTTGCCTTAATTATAATTTTATTCTTCATAAAGTAGAGAAACTAACAAGGGGAAATTATATTCTGGATCCATTTCTCACTATCAGGGAGGAACAAATTGCTTGGGTGTAAATGTTAGAAACCTTGAGGAAAAGTGACCACCCCTCCAAGAAGTTGATAAAGGAAAGGATAGCCAAGCATAGTATGACATCAACCCAAGATTTTGAGAGCTCATTTCAAGGGGTTCAGAGAGAAAGGACTGGATAAGATCCCATAGAATAAAGTTGTAGATAGGAAAGAAACTCAAGGGTGAAATTTTGAAGAGACAAAGGGAAATAATTTTGATAAGAAAAAACAGGTTGTCTGAAGAGATGGCTGTGAATGCACAGGAACTCACCAACCAACTTATTTTTAAAAGATATACAGAAGATAGAAGCAAGGGCGGGTAACAGGATGAATTCAAAAGTGTAGCCCAGTACTATAAGAATAACAGTGGGAGTGCTAAAGCTCAGAATGTTCTGAGGCTTGTGAAAAAAGATTAAAAAAAAGGTTTTGGGGTGGGGTTGATTATTGGGGAAAAAAATATCAAAGAAAGAACTTCTGCTTGTGGTAGATGGGACATTGGTAACTATTAAGAGGGAAAAGCCAGAGTTGCTGAGTTATTATTTTGCTTCTCTCTTCTCTGCCAAGGACAATGACCTTTGGATGGGAAAGAACAGAACAAAAATGGCTAATAGAGAATTGATACCCAAGATAAGTAAGGAGATTATAAAACAGCGCTTAGCTGCCCTTGATGAATTCAAGACACTACATCCTCAGGTACTAAAAGTGAGATGCATTAGCTGAACCACTGATATTGGAAAGATCATAGAGAATGGGAAAGTTACTACAGGACTGAAGAAGGGCAAAATGTTATTCTGATTTTCTAAAAAGGGCATAGGATTAGTTTTTATACTATAGGCCAATGAACTTGACTTCCCCTTCTGAACAAAGTTCTAGAAGCACTTGTTAAAGAATAGCATACATCTAGGAAAGGAACCAGTGATCACAAAGAGCCATTAGCATGGCTTTATCAAGAATAAGTCATGCCATACTACCATTATTTCTTTTGTTGAAAAACTGGTAGATGAGAGAAATGCTGTAGCTATAGTTTTAGCAAAGTGTTGGATACACTACCTCATATTACTACTGTGAAAAATGGTGAGATGGAAGTTAGATGGGTTTGGAACTGGTTGATTAGTCTGTCAAAAAAGTAGTCATTAATAGTTCCTTGTTTAGTTGGAATGGTCCTGTGCTGTTTAACTTTTTTATCAGTGTCTTGGATAAAGGCATCTGTGGCATGCTTAGCAAATTTGTAGATGAAACTATTAGAGCTGAAAACATAGCTAAAACTGGTTGACAACATCAAGATCCAAAAAGATCTTGACAGGCTACGGCATTGAGCTAAATTTAATAAGGTATTTAATAGAGTTAAATGTAAAGTGTTACATAGGTTCAGAAAGTCAGTTTTGCAAGATTAAAAAAGGGGAGCAGTTTGTCTGAAACAGTTCTGGGGGTTTTAACAGCTAAAAGCTCAGTACAAGTGTAATGTAGAAGCCAAATAAAGCAAATGCTATCCTGAGCTGCATTGAGAGAGGCATAGCTTTCTAGAATAAGCAGGTGATAGTCCCTTTGTATCTACTCTTGTTAAACTACATTTCAGGGTTTGTTTTATTTCTTGGTGCCAGAGTTTAGGAAGGATATTGATAAGCTATAGAATATTCAGAGAAGGGCAGCCAAGATGATGAAGAGCCTTGAGTCCATGCCATGTGAGGATAAGTTGATTATCTATGTGACCTCATGTGTGAGGGTTGGGCTAGATAGCTGCTGTGGTTCTGTCCAGTTTTAAATCTATGATCCTCTGTTTAGCTTGGAGAAGAGAAGACTTGGGGGAGATAGTAGCTCTGTTCAAGTATTGGAAGATCCACCATGTGGGAAAAGAGACCAGACTTGTTCTGTTTGGCTCCACAGGGTACAACTAGGAGCAATAATTGCAAGTTGCGGAGAGACAAATTTAGGCTTGATGTTAGGAAGAGCTTGTTAACAATTAGAACCATCTGTAAGTGGAATGGGGTGCCTTGGAGTGGGTTCCTCTTGCCTGGCAATCTTCAGAGGCCAAATTGACCACTTGCCAGTTGTGTTGTAATGCGTATTCTTTTTAGATTTTGCGTTGGATTAGATGGCTGCTGTGGTCCCTTTGAACTCTTAAAAATCTGTGATTTTTGTTGTTGTTGTTGTCTTTGTATCCCCAGTGCCTAATACACAGTAGGTACTCAGTAAAATACTAATTGAATTTGTTGAATTGAATGTCAGGCATAGAGCTGGAAATGACAAATAAAGCTTTCCTGTTGCAAGATAGTCATGTGAATCTAAGTTAAATATGTTGGACCTGAAACAAATGAAAATTTAAAAGTTGTCTGTGCTTTTTTAGGGTTTGGAAGGGTGGTAGTAGTCAATGACAGCTGCTGGATGATTCAGAGTATTTTGTTGATTGATAAGATTATAGTAGTACTTAAGCCAGTTATTTTTGAAAAGAGAAAAAAATCCACTGTTTACATATATATAAGCAGTATTTATTTACAGCTTTAATCCTCCCCTTGATTTGATGGGAGGGCAGAAATGGAGGGATCTGATTCCTGTGCTACAAAGTGTTCTTAGAAATGCCCAGTTTTGTCTATAATCATTGAAAGGAATAGAAAGGTGGAGGGGATGTAATTCTGCTTATATGGTGCTAATTTTAATTTTTTTTCCTCTTCCCCTATTCTTTCTAATATAATTACAGCAGCTAAATCTAGAAGATTCTTCAGATTTTTCCACACTGTCCAAATCATTGGAAGAGTTCTACATCTCTCTGATCCATTCTCAGCAGTCAGCAGAATTAAACCATTCTGAGCCTGGTTGTGTTCAAATTCTGCCAAAGCAAATCCAGCTTTCTACAGCAGCAGTTACCTGTAATTTACTTCCCACAGTGGTTGATTCCCAGGAGAAGCACACTGGTTTAAGTAGGTTTCAGTATTCCCTTATCTGCAAATGAGTGATAAATGTAATGTTGTATTCTTGATCCTATATTCGACAGGGATCCTGGTTCTTTTTCATAGATACATAGAATCTCAGTGTTAAAAGGAATATTAATAATAATTTAGCCCAGCCACCCACCCACCCAGTGCAGAAATCTCTTAGAGATTGTTGTCTGATTTCTGCTTGTACTATTCCATTGATAGGGGATTCATTACTTTGCAAAGTCAGTGAGTCATATTTTGATCTGCTCTAGTAGTTAGGTTTTTCATAATTAAGGAACTTTGTGTCTTATTTTTACCTACTGGTTTGGTATCTGGGGAGACTGCAGCTTCTTCCACGTAATTGTCTTAAAACTTTTGAAGGATTGCTATTTAATGTCCCTTGTTCTTATCTCCACTCTTCCAGAAAAAAGTCTTCAGGCTAAGTACACTTGGTTTCTCCTGCCATTGCTTATGTAAAATGCTTTCCAAATAACCATCGTTCTGGTTGCCGTCCTTTCAATGAGTCTTTAATTTGTCAGTGTATCTCTGTGTACCTCAAACTGGAAACAATATAGTCATAGATAGTCTGATTATAATTAGTGAAAACACATGGTAGTACTTTGCAGGGTCCAAATAAATCTACATACTTACATTTCTATTAATGTAGACTAAAATTGCATGAAATTTTTCAGTAGGAAAGTCACCTCGTTGCCTCACCTTAATATTGTATAATTCTCATTTACCTGTTGTTTTCAGGTCTTCCTTAACTAATTACACAATTAATTGTTTTAACCTAAAGGCAGGATTTTATCTATATCCTTATCATATTTCATCATCTTTGTTTCAACACATTCCAGCCTGTTGTTATTCTTAATTTTGATCCTGTTATCTAACATTTCTCTCAGTTTGTGTAATTTGCATATGTGAGTATCGTATCTTTTTTATTTATCTGAGTTGTTAAAAATATCAAATAGGACAAGGCTTAAAATAAGGCCCTGGAGCATATAAGTGTATATCTCTCTCCAGTTTAACATCAGTCCATTTATCAGCTCTCTCTGGGTATAGTTTAATTAGCTACAGAACCACCTAATTCTATCATTTACATCTTATATCATGAGATACTTTTGTAAAATTCTTTGAGAAGATCAAGATAACCCTTTACCTATGGCATTCCTTTGATGTCATCAAGCTTAGCAATTATCTTAGCATTTTAAAAGATTCATAATTTTCTTGGTGTGGGTGCTGACTCAGCTAATACTTCCAGTACTCAGATATTCTTCATGAGTTTTTGTGGGCAAAAGAAACTCATAGCTAGTAGCTTTTCTGAATTTAGCTAGATTGATTCTCAGAAAGTAGGTACATAATATGTCTTCAGGCCCATACTCAAATTCTTTATAGATTATTGGCACTTGCCACAGATCTTCCATTTTTATGGTATGGTATCTGAGAATGGATGATCTCTCTGTTACAGTAATGCGTCAGAATAGGACTTTATTGGAGAGACTGCCTAGTAGGCAGAAACAGAAATATAGTAAACTTGGCATGACTTGTTATTTATTTGTTTGTTTGTTTGTTTGTTTGTTTATTTATTTATTTTTGACAAGAGCTGTGATTCATTGGTATATGAACACCTGATGAGGGAAATCCCTTTACCAATGCAGATCAGCATCTACTCTGTAATTTATAGTCTCACGGAACTACCTGAGGCATTGAGAAGTTAAGGGGCTGGCTTAGTATATATTAGAAGTAGTACTTGAATCCGGGCTTTATTGACTTTAAGGGCAGTTCTTGATCCACTCTGCCATGTTTGATTTACAAACTTTCTCTCCTTGTTAACCATTGCCTTTTTTTACTAAGTGTTCACAAAGCATAATCCACTATAGAGTTTTTGCCAGATTATCAGCATCAAGTTTACTAATCTGTAGTTTTGAGAATTCATTATTTTCTTCCCTTTGAATATCAGGGCATTTGCCCCATTCCTAGTCTTCTGGTCCCTCTCCCTATTTTCCATCATTTCTCAGCAGTCATTAACAGTGGTTCGTTAGTGACATTTGCAAGTTATTTCAGTATTCCGGAATGTAATTTGTCCTGGGGCTAGTAGGTCTAAAGTACTCTCATACTATCTTTTTAGGCTGTATCTGAATTTTTATCTGAATTTAAGATTTTTGCTTACTCTTCCATCCTGAAACACAGAGTAATTGAGTAATTCCTGTGCTTTCTTGGTGTTGTTTGTTAACATATTTTGTTGCCCTCAGAATTATTTGATCCTAGATTTTAGATACATTTGTGCTACTCTCCTGTATTCATCTTGGTCTCTATTCCTATCTTTCCATCTTGAAAATTTTAGTTTTAAATCTGAATGCATCAAAGAGTTCCTGTGCAATCACATTGGGTTCTTATTTACTAGTTACTGTTCTCTTCCTTGTTGGGATTATTCCCAATTATGTTGTCAAAAGAATTTCTTTTTTTTTTCTCTGACAATAGCCAGCATTTATTAAGCATCTTCTGAAAATGATAGTTCCTGCCCTATAGGAACTTAGATTCTGTTGAGGGGAGGGAATGCACCACATATACAAAAAAGCAAAAGAGATACCCGGACAAAGAGCCTTAGGAGCAGTTGAGCAAGAGAATACTTTCAGCTATGGGAAGATTTCATTGGTACCTTGAAGGAAGGGAAGGATTCTGAAAAGCAGATGAGAGCATCCATTCCAAGTCCAGGAAGTTACACAAATGCTTAGAAGTAAGGAATGGCATGTTGCATTTATGGAATGACCAGTGGTCTAATTTGGCTCAGACAGAGAGTTCATGAAAGGAAGCAATGCAAAATAGGGCTGGAAAGTAGGTTGGAACTATTATAGGTGGATGTAATTAGCAGATTAAGGAATTTGTGTTTTATCTTAAAGGCATTAGGGAACCACTAAAAGTTTTCAAGCAGGAAAGTAACTTGGTCATACCTGTACATGAAAAAAATTTTGGTAGCTGCATGAAGTATGAACTGGGAGTAGAAGCTAATGGAAGCATGGAGTTAAGTTAGGAGAGTATTTTAAAGATTCAGGCAAGAGGTCCTGAGCTGTTAGTAGAATTTCTAGGGAACACAGTCCTCACAGTTTCATGAGTTCCTGAAGGATTGTGAGTGGAGAGAAGGATTAATGCACGATATATCATAGAGGTAGAATTGATGACTGCGTCATTATGTTGGACAAGGAAGTTGAGGAAAAAGCAAGAGTCATAGATGACTTGGAGGTTTTAATTAAGCCTACATGACTGGGAGGGTAGTGATGCCATTAACAGAAATTGAGGAAAACTACAAGGAGAGAGCAGGTTTGAGGAAGAAGAAGATGATGGATTGAGTTTTATATGTGCTGAGTTTCTGACAAGACATCCAGGCAGAAATGTCTAGTAGGCAGTTGGAGATGTAGGTCTGGAGTTACAGGAATGATTAGGGTTGAGAATTTGGGAATTATCTGCATAAAAGTAATAATTGAATACATAGGAGCGAGTAAGATTACTAGGAGAGAGAATTAGAGAAGAGGGATGAAGTCAGGGCCTTGAGAGATATCCACATTTAGGAGATAAAGGAAGATGATCCAGCAGTGAAGTAGTCAGTAGTAGTCTTCAAGCAGAGGTTATATGATCACTTGTTAGAGATATTGTAGATAGAATTCTTGTAGTCCAATATACTGGTTAGACTACATGGCCTTTGAAAGGGTATCTTCCACTTCTAATACTATAAAGGCAATAGACAAGGAGAACAGATTGGGGTTGAGGGACCAGAGCTTGTCTAGTGAGAATAAAGAGCAAGTTTAAGAGGACAGGAGCAGGGAAGGAAAGAGAAATAAGGACAAGGCATTGTAACCAGAGATGGGAATTTCAGAGTTTGGGGTGACTGAGGTTGTGGAAGTTGAGATGAATGATCTAGGAAGTCAATTTTTTGTACAGTGTGAATATTGGAAGTTTACTAAAACATAAGGAGAAGAATTGAGTTTGAGAGCAAAGACATTTTTGTCAAACCCAGCTAGGTGCAGAACTCATTGAGGAAGAAAGGAAATGTGATCAGGAGGTTGGTAAATGATAGCAGCAAGGATTTAGATGGAGTGTTATTATCAGATAGTCTGAACTTCAAAGGTAGTAGAGAGGTTGCTGAATGATGGTGACAGTGAGGAACCATATTTTGCCTTAGTCTGTAGTCAAAACATCATCCTTATCTTTCATCTTAATTTTAACAAATCTTTCTCTTAAGTCTAGAGTAGTTGAGTATTTTCTTCCTTCACCATTACTAACTACAAAATGGTATGGTCACTTTTTTCCACAAAGATTTCTGTCACTCCCATATCACTAAGCAAGTCTTCCTAATTGGCTAGAATTTTATGCAGGGTATCGTTTACCCTTGTTGAAAACCAGTTTATTGATCCCTTGGCAACCAGAATCTAGCATGGTGACATGTACATAATAGACACTTGGTAAATGCTGAATTGAACCAAAGATTTGGACATCTTAATTTTACCTTTGACATTAGCCTGGAATTAGAATAAGAATATCTTTTTTGAAGGGATCCATTTGAATGCTTATTTTGTTGATGGTAGTAAAAAGAAAAACTGAAGGACTTTTTTCTGAAATCTTACTTCGACAGTCCAACAAGTCTGTAATTTCACTGATGTGGGTAAAAACCCCTCCCCCTCTTTTCATCCATTGTCCTTCCATAAATCCTCCTGGGGAGTCTACCCAGTGTTGGACAGAAACTCATTTTATTTTCATGCTCTTTTCAGGTTTATTTTTCCTGCTTTTTTGACAATTTCATCTACTAAGATTGTCTTTTTTTCTTCTTCCCTTTATTCTGCTTACCATCCTGACATAAATTACCTTTGTCTTAATGCAACCTTTCCTGAACCATCTTCTCCCTCCTAACTCAAAATTATTTTGATGTATTTCTACCTCACACATTATGTGCCTTACCATTGGAAATTATTGACTAAAAGAGGAGGAATCAATGCAGTACAACCTAATAGAAAGTGATATAGTACAGATAGAAAAGGGAGGTAGTAAGTGCATATAGCTGTGTGCTTATTTTCCTTCTGAAAAATGTCCTTATGTTTTATTTTCTTCTCAGAGGAAGCTACTCCAGGAAATATGAAGAATGAAGATTCCTCCAGCCACCATGCCCTTGCGATGTTCAAAGACACAACCTGTGCCCAACAAGGATCCATGGAACAGATCTCTTTTATACTCTCTCCTGAGCACAGTGTGTCCCAGAAACTCTTCATTCCTCGAAGCACAGCAACAGCAGCATTAGGAGCTGCAGCCCGTCTCGCCATGTCTAGTAGCCTTCTACATTGGTATCCCAGGTTAAGAAGAATGGAAGCATGAGGGGAGGAGAAAGGAGGATAAATAAACTAGATGCGGTTAGATGGGTTAAGCATTAGTATTCTCCATATCCAAAATGAAGAAGTACCAAGGCAAAATGACTTACCGTAGTTGATGTATCCTGCCTTTTCCTTATTGTGTGACTGTACATTGGCTCTCTCATGCAAACAGTCCACTTTGATTTAGAAAATAGGCAGCTGATGTTATTTTTTTAGTAGAGATAGTTGTTATGCTATATGGTTATGTTGATCTTTCTTTTTAACAGTGATTCAAATTGATGGTTGTTCAGTGGAAACCCTATAATTTTTCTTTTTGCATATCTAATAAGAAATGGGTAAAGTTTTGTGATCCATGTTTAGGAAGAAGAAAATATAATAGGAAGTCTAAATTTTTTTTTCCCTATTGTTGAATTTGAATTTTTTTAAAATGAAAAGAAGTGATAATTCAATTCAGTTACCTTCATTGGCTCTGCCACTATATTACAACATTTTCTGTTCTTAGTAATAAACCTATATTCCTTGGAGGCTTTATTTTTGGCTTAGTTACCTCACTTTGATTCTAAAATTAGGCCATATATATTTGTAGTATAAGGAAATCTCCTAAAGAACAATATAATAAGACCCTAAAACTTTAGCTGTCTTCCATAGCTATAGCTAGAAACATGTGAAGAGAAACCTAGTGAGAGTTCCTAAGTGGTACAGTTTTAGCATTTATAAAATAAGCATATCCCCTAGTACGCCAGCCAGATTCTGTGACTTGCTTTTTTGATGTTCTGTTTAGTTCATAGAAAAATAGTACTTATTTAACAGGGCTCTTGAACTAAGTAAGCAATGCTAGTTGACTATTCATGGTAAAATATAATATTTTCTACCAGATTGACATCTACTTTGCAGTTTTGAAGAGGATTATTTTTTCTCCACATATTCTTCCCCACAGTAGGCAGCAGAAGCTATTCAAGAGATGCATGAGCAGTTGAAGCAGCTTGAATTACCTTATTGTTTGCAAGGAAAAAGCACGATTTACACCTGTTGGATAGCTCTTACTGTGCCTTCAAAGGAGAAATTTAAACCACAGGTCAATTAGGTTCAACTCTGTCCTTTCCATCAGTTTTATCACTAAATATCTATCAGTGGAAGGAATTACTTATATAAATACGTTATTCTGTTTAAACAAGATTATTGTTTACCCAACCTCCTTTCTGAAAGAGTTACATAGTAATGAAAAGAGGCAACCCAGTTGCTTTGGATGCTGATAAGACAGAAGTTGGAAATGTTTAAAAATGTAAAATTTTGAAAAACCATTTTACTGTGATTATCAGAATGATGACATGCCCATTTTTAATGTACTTTTTAATTTCACTGGTGGTTAGCACAGCTGACTGGACTAAAATGGACCAGGATTGTTATCTGAGCAGCCGTGCACTAGGAAACTTCAGTATGAGTCAGCGTTGCTGTGTGACCGTTTGGACAGGATTGGATGTGGGTGGGAGAATTCCCAGCATGTAGTGTAGGTTTCAGTAGTTTTCTGAATGTAATGGTGGGTTTCCAAGAGTTGAACAACTTACAGAATGATGATCCTCAGGATCTTCCATGTAAGAGAAAGAACCAAGTAAGGAAGAGTATTCATTAATGTCCTTTTACCAACTCTGGCATCTAATTTCCTTATCTGTGTTTTAGTGCTTTATACTTTGAGATACTGCTAGTAACTTTTCCTCTGTAGATGGAGTTCATAAAGCAAATGTTCATCTGCTAAAATTACTGTCCTTTAAATAATACAACCAAATTACCAGGAAAAGCTCTGCCAAAATGTGAAGTGGTTTTTCTTAGTAATATAATTAGCTCTAACCCACACAGAACAAACTTCACAACTAGGCAAATTAGATGATGAGGCAAATGCATATGGGTCTTCTGATAACTGGCCAACTTACCATTAGCCATGTGTAGAGAATCATTTAGGACCATTCAAAATTAATCAGTGTCAACATACTTTGAAAAAAGATTGTTAACTTCTGATTTAAACAGAATAAACAAGAAAGTCAATCATGAGAAGGTACCTGTGAGACATGGACTTCTGAGTCCTTTCATTTAACTTGAGAGAGCCAAATGATTACATTTCCAGCAGGAACTATCATTGTGACTTGAGCTAATAAGCAGACTATTTACTCAACATTTGGAACCATTTAAAAGTAGGTGATGGTCCAGGTTTTGCTTATGAGCATATCTAAGAAAGAGGCATGGTTTTTGGTTTTGTTTTTTCTTTTTCTTTTCTCAGGCCGTACTGGTACTCTGTGCTTTAGGAGTTAGTGTGATCAAATTTCTTGTATCAGGAATTAACATAATGGCATCAACTATACCAAAAGCAGGGACCTCTAACTTTTTTTTTTTTCTGGTAAGCAACTGCTGTTTTTGGGAGCATAAGACATAGTGCTTACGAAGTATGATTCTGGACTGGTGGTTAGGGTACTGCCAGGCAAGCCACAGGAAGCAAGGGGAGGAGCAATGCCAAGGGTGGCAGCAGTTGTAAACTCGCCAAGTTCCAGCTACTGCATCCTTGAAATACTCGTTCCCATGTAAACCAGGAAGAGCTTGGGGGCATCTGGAATCACTTATCTCACCTTCTCTTCCCCTTGAGCCATGGTTCCTTCAAGCCAGTATTTCAAATTTCAAAGTCAGAAGGTGCAGCTTCATTATGAGCCTTCAGAGGGTCAACCCCAGTGAAAGAAAAAGAAGGGTACATGCTTAGGCCTTGGGTTCTTGAGCACTGACAACTGTACGTGTGGGTGTTTTATTCAGCTGAAATGTGAACAAGATTATCATGAGTCAGAAACCAATGCAGAATCAAGGAATCACCACAAAAAATTTTACGTAGCAAAATTTTTCCAACATTTTGAGAGCTTTTTCTCTAGAGATTAAATTCTTTTTATCCAGCAAGCAGTAGGACAATTCTACACCATCGTGCCTCATTCTTAAATTGGGATAGCTACCATATATAACTATATATATATATATATATCATATGTAACTATATCATATATAACTATGCCACCTAATGTGCATCGTTCTTCAATCTGTAATTTAAGCTCAGCATCATTCCTAATGACTTACATACCGATTAAATTTCACCAGTTTTTAAGGAACACCCTGTAAGCTTTCACTGGATGTAAATAGATGGATCACTGGGAGAAGCCTTTCTATTCAGCTGACGGAGCCCTGTAGATAGATAAAACTTAACTGTTTAAGTCAGTGATTTTTCTAGTACAGAGACTAAGAACTGAATCATCTACTAGTTTCTTTTCTGTGAAATTGGAGTCTTGGCCATAGACCAAAACAGACTATATAGAATGTGTCTCCAGGATGAAGCTCATAGCTTAATTTTCTTGGTTGTTGGCATAGTAATAAAGCAGTGACAGTTTTCTGCTTGTGGATAGCCTTTGTTTCAGATGATAGTGTTTGAGTGAGAATAGGTTTCTTTCTGAACTTGTGAAAATGGGTTTTCTAGAACCATTTTTACTTGAATTACATTTTATCTTGGCACAACTTGGAAGAAGAAGCTGAAAGTCCCCTGATTCAAGAATGGCTACGTCTTCACTTTTCGTGCTCTAACACAAGGCTTTAAGGTTACATTCTAAGGGAAAGTTATGGGTGTTACAGGAAGTCAGGTAATGTTGGTATTGAAGCTAGAGGGTAGTAAATGAAAAGAGTGCTGTACTTGGTGTCAGGAGACCTGGGTTCAAATTCTTGCTCTGTTACGTGATGTGTTGCTTCACCTCCCTGGGTCAGTTACCTTCTCTGTAAATTGAGGGAAGCTAGAACTAAAGTTCTTTTGATTTCTGGAGCTTGTCAGTGGCATTTTGGTTTTCATTCCAGACCTCTAGGTTTTATAGTTAGAATGTCACATCTGTTTTCTTAGGAGTTTTCAGCTATTTTTTTCATAATTAGCTACTGACCTGTTGATTCAGCAGGCGTTGAAATTTTATTTGTCTGTCACCCAAACAGAATAGCTAAGCAAAATGTAGAAATTCTCTTTGGTTTTATAAAAACAAAGTTAGTGTTCCACTTACCTAAACTACATTTTTTGGGGCAGATACCAGTAGCCCTCATCTGCTTTTCATTTTCAGATTTATCGCCCATTAAAAAACTCTGTTGTTAATGACTATTCCCTCCAATGTCATCTAAAAATATTTGTGGATCCATGTCTTTGGAAAGGTTTGAAAGATTTCACCTGATTTTCTTTCCTCATTGCCTTGAAGAAGTAGACTCCTTTTATAAATAAACTTCATTTAGAGCTGGAAAGAATTCTAGATCCCATCTAGTCTGGCCTTTTCTTTTAAGGTGAGGAATGTGAGGCCCAAGTAAGTGAAGTAAGCTGCCTGAGGTCACAGGGCTAGTAAGTAGCAGAGGCAGGAGGCCCAAGGCCTCTAACTCCAGATTCAACACCTACGTCCTTAACAGGCTTCCAGGCTGATGACATTTTCAGAGTCCTGTCATTGGCATAGTTTGCCTTCTATATTCAGTGAATGTGACTGTGAAAAGCTTGATTCAAACACCTCAGCCTGTCTTTCACCTGATTCCTAAATGGGGTCTCCATATATCAAGGCAGAAGAATCACTGATAGATAATTCCCATAGTAAAAATGTACTTTATTGTTTAAAATCTCCCCTAATTGCATATATGTATATAATATCTTTTGGTTGAGATACAATACTCCCTTTGTTCTAATTTTTGCTGCTTAGCCTGTGAAGACTGTTATAGAGTCTTCCAATGATATACCTTCAAGTGGTCAGGGATTTGCTATAAATCATTTTCTTACTTCATTACATATTTACTTCTGTTACAAAGATGTGCAGCCTTAGTCATTCATGTGAGCATATAGTCAGGTACCAAAAGTAACACATTTTTCTGAAGGTTGAAAATAATACTGTTCTTGTCTTTATCTGGGAGTGGAAGACTACTTACAAGAAGAAGCAGGAGAGAGAAGTGGACAGACATTGTAGTTAAGTAGTTATATTCATTGTTGGTGGTGGGGAGGATTTATTGAAAAATATAGATATAGTAAAATATTTCATATCATTTATACAATTCTGCCATATCTAAATTTGAGTAAAATTTTGAGTATCAGAAAGATAATTTCCCCCAAACTGTTAGGAGTTTGTGGAGTTTCTAG